TCCTTCCTTCCACTCAACTTTTATGGCCTCCGTTTTGTTGGTTTTCTATTGAGAAGGATTTGACATTGTCGCGGAGCAGATTCAGAATTTAAATTTTATAAATTTATATTCGCATTTCTATCACGATATCCTATCTAATTTAATAGGTTTAAAATTTATTAGTTATACGTATTTAATTATTTTTTAGATAAAAATATATGGTATGAGCGAAAGCTATAGGTTCGGCCTTTACACTGAAAATAGCTAGCTTCCATGCCGTCCAAAAATCTTCTATTTATTTATGTTCTGTTATTCGGTTTTTTTTTTTGTGTGTGTGTATAAATATGGTCGGCGAAAAATTTAAGAAAGCAATATTCTTTGACATTTTTGAATTTCTGTTCACCTCACGTACATGTCAAGAATGTCGACTTGTATTTGCAATACCAAATTTTGTCTCGTAAGATCTTTTCTTCCATCCTTATATTTTCATGAGATTTATAAAAAATTTAACCATTCAACTTAAAAGAGGAAAAATAAAAAGGAATGACGTGTAGGGGCGGCTCGACATAATATGGGGCCTAAGGCAAAAATAAAAAGTGAGGCCTTAATTTTTTTTAATTATTTTTTTTACCTCTTATAATTTATCGAACTCTAAAGAAGTGATAATCAGATTTAATTATTGGCTATGTCTAACCAAATTGTTTATTCTCTCTTGTGTTATCATGTTGAATTTTATTGATTTAATTTTGAAAAACTTTTTCAACCGATGCAAGTGATATAGGAATTGTTGACGGTAATTGAATTAACACGTTTTACTTAAGTGAATTTTCCAACTAGAGTATTCTTCTACTTAAACAGTTTCTCTTAACACTTTTAATTCTAAATATAGGTTGAAATAAATAAAATTGTAGTAACTATTATGTTTCAAGAGTCATTAATGTTAATGACGAATGTTAATAATTACTTATCAAAGTAGCTTGAAAAATATCTACAAAGGCACTCAAAGAATTTTCTAGACTAACATCGTAAGAAGATCGATTTAAATCGGAACGAATTAAAGATAAGAAATAACTAGTAACTATAATTTAAGATGTACAAAAAATTTAGCTATAACTATTTACCAAATAATTTAAATTTTTTATCAATAATGCATACTTATAAATATTATATATATTATTTATAGATTTTGGGGTCCCAAATATTTTAGGGGCCTAAGGCCATTGCCTTAGTGGCCTTAGGCTCCGGCCGGCCCTGATGACGTGCGGTTGTGCCACTTCTTTTTTCTTTAATTTGTTTGAAACTAACTTAGAAATCATGTTTTTTTTTTCATTAAAAAAAGAGGGGTTTTGACACAGTTACCCACAAAAACAAAACTATTTACCCTTGTCTACCCATTAGTTTTCCTACCCATAAACTAATTATATCTCCTACCCATAGTAGGTTTTTTGGGAACTTCTTTTTTATTCTCCAATTCTTTTTTATTTCTATGCTTATTTTCTCCTTTTCTTTTTTCTTTTTTTTTTCTTTTCTCCTTTTCTTTTTTCTCGTTTTCTTCTTATTTTTTTCTTTTTTCCTTTTCTAATTTCATTTGACTTCTTTTTTTTATATTCTTTTTCTCTTCACAATCTAATTTCATTTACTGTTTTTACTATTTTTTATTATTCTTTTTTTTATATTATTACTAAAGAAAAATCAAATTGTGTACCAATTAAATGTAGCTAATACAACCAAAAAAATATTAACTAACATATGATACCAGTATAGTATATAGCTATACCAACAGGGTATACAATTATATGCAATGAGTTAAAAAAAATTAATTTAATTATTAAACTAAAATAATATCAGTTGTCAATAAAAAATTTAAAAATTCTAAAAGGATCTAATTGTAAGAGTATACCGTTACATCACATAGCATACTATAATTTATTTTTTTTGCATTTTCAATTTGCCCCTCACGCTGGGTAAAAGCTTAAAACAAATTAAAAGGGAAAAGGCAAGTGAATTTACGGGTAACAAGTATACTATTATAGTATATTGTATACTATTATAGCATATTATTACATTATCTTGCATATTATTACAGTATACCATAACAATATATTGTATACTATAATGGTATACTGTTGCAGTATAACTATATACTCCTATAGTATATTAGTATACTGTAGCGGTATACTGTTTTGTAAATTATAATAGTGTACTGTTGCAGTATAGCTATATACTCCTACATCATATTGTATACCGTAGTAGTATACTGTACCTGTGTTCTTCTTTCGATTTTCAACTGAAAATTTCGATCTCAATCACCTCAAATTAGGTCCAAATGCTATCAAATTTCAGTATGAACTTCTAGAAGGTACTATAAGCAATATTTAACAGCACTCACTTTGAATCAAACAAAAAATCTTCAAAAATAAAATTGAGCTTCAAGCCCAACAATGGTGGATATTCAAATACACACAAAAATTTAGATTTGGGATGTAATCTGCTCTTGTACTTAATGAAGTATCCAAACCATGGCTTTGTAAGTTTTGTCCACATGTAATTCTGATCGCATGGTTCATGGAAACTACTCAATTAGAGAAAGGAGGAAGGGGCCAGAGCCTAGTTCAATTTTTTCAAATAACCTCGATTGCGGTTATCAGTTGGTCACCTTCGTATGCTAAAATTCTCTTGTACATAACAGTGATTATTCAAAGAGAATCTGTATCCAATCTTTATTTTAGTAAAGCTAAGTTTTTTTGTGATTGAAGCCTTGACTCTGGGAACAACTAGCGGGTAAATAGTTTAGGGAGTATGGGTAGGAGTAGTAAATAGTTTGAGTCTGGGCATTAAAGAGTAAATAGTTTGGAATTAATAGGTATAAAGTGAGATTTTCTCAAAAAAAAAAAAAAGGACAGTACGGTGTGCAAGGTATTCCGCGTTCACGCAGGGTCCAGAGAAGGGGCGCACCCTAGGGTGTGTGATGTAGACAGACTGCCCTAATGTATGCAATAGTGGTTGCTTCCAACGGATCGAATCCGCAACCTATAGGTCACACGGAGATAATTTTACTGCTCCACCCGTCTTAGAATTCATATTAACCACCCAAAAAAATAGAAGATCATGTTTGGATATGCCTAACAATACGAGTTTCCTCAACTTAATAATGATTATTTTTATAGTTTTAATTGCTAAAAGAAGAACAAAATCAAATAAAACCGATATACAACATTTTAGTTCATAATCCAAGGTTCCTCATTTGTTGGGGCAAAGCATTTCAATTTTATGAATGTAAAAGATTCTTTCTGTTTATTATATGAACATGATTAATCTTGTCTGCTTTCACGTTGGCATTCTTCCTAATTATTAGCACATTGGTTTGTCCTTGATTTTCATTTATTATTACTTCAACTATTAGATGACATTTTTCGGAATTTTAGAATTTTGATATTATTCCTTTTGAAAAACCTCATATGTTAGCTTATGATTGATTGTCCTATAACCTTATATCTTACATATCTCCTTAGCTGCTCTTCTAAGTACTGAAATGATACCTCATGGTTTTTTTTTTTTTTTTTTACGGTCAATTTGTGCGTACCAAACTAATTTTATTTAGTACCTGGTATCTCCCATCAGTATAGGTATCAGATAACTTTACAGATACAGTCAATCCTCTCTATAGTAATCTTGTTTGTTCCGGATATTTTTGGATGTTATAGCGAATTGATGTTATAGAGAATATATATTATAACAAAACACGATATTTGGTTCCGAAAAAGATTGGCTTTTATAGTGAAGTGTTGTTATATAAGAATGTTGTTATAGAGAGGTCTGACTGTAGAAAGAAATCACCTAGTGCTTTTTGCTGAATTTGGGTGGGTTTAATCAATTTTATGATAAAATTGAAGAAAAGGAAACGTTCATTTGGAAATACTTTTCAATGATGAAGGATTTGAAATTCACCTAAATGCTATGACAGTACTGCTTATGATATCATCAAAAGGAATGAAAAAAAAAGGGTTATCACTTTTAGCTCGTGGTGGAAACTATTTACATTCAGTAGTCAAAAAAGTATATTAAATTTGTAAAATTTTTATATATAACATACAAAAAAATATACAACAAATATATTTTTTTGACTATTATTTTTAGAGTGGCTATACAGTGTCATTTTTCAAAAAATAAAAATCACATTGACAAGGACCTGCTGCTTAGAAAGTTCTCTTTTATTTTATATTTTTAGTTTATTTGCTAGTAGTATTATTGTTTGCCTATTCAAGCTCTGAGGCTAATGAAACAAAAATATAGTTGAAAAAAAACAATAATAATAAAGTGGAATCCAACCTATTAAACAACCCCATTAATGATCATTAGCATGTCCTTCAAAGTCAACCCTATACTTTTTATCATTTTGGAGTGATTAGTTAGCTATAATAATTAAATATTACCAAAAGGTTATTCTTTCGGCTTAACATTAATTTTAATTAATTACCTTTTGCAACCTCACAACAAACATTATATCTTTATGCTTCCAACTAACTTAAAATCATATCTTCATTAAATGGCATCTAATCAAAAAAAGTTTTCCATTTACACCAAAAAGCAAATTTCTTGTTGGCAAAATGGTCCCAAATCACATTGAATTTGGTAGGCAAAATGAAAACGAAAGAACTGAAAGAAACAGAAAATAGTTGTGTGAAGAGAAGGTAGAAGAAAACAACAACTGCACCTGTTAGATCAGAGGCGGAACTAGAATTTTAAGTATATGGATTTTTGATTATAGAAAAGACAGCTTCTGAATTTTATATGAATTATTTATCCATATTAAGTATATTTTGTAACGAAATATACGATTTGCGTCAAAGTTAGTGAATTCTATCGAACCTGCATACACTACACTGGCTCTGCCCTGAGTTAGATAGATTTTTTTCGGTTTAACCATTATGTAGCCTTTGAAAGTTTTATGTACTTCTAAAAGAGTAATAAAAACTAATTTTATAAGTGCTAAATTTGTAATCATTTTATAAAATAAGAAATTCAAGTAAAACCATAAATTTATCTATATCCACCACGTGCTGGCATATATATACATTTATACAACTTAGGATTCAAAGGCCACATAAGAAATCACCACATTATATTTTAACCCCAAGAACTGGGGTCAAAATATAAATAGAGAAACAATGAAGACACTGAATCCATAAAACCAAAATTTATTTTTGTACCCCCTAACTTTATACCCTTTCCATTAAAGCCACTCGAAAATATGCAATCTGAAATCTGAAATTTTTTCAAAGCACACACTAATATTCCTTAGGCTTTTTTATTATCAATTCTTAGAAAGTTTCCCATTTTGTTGTAACCACAACTGGCCCTGGATTTCTCTGATCAGCAAAACTAACCCTCTTCCTCTGTTCTTGATTATAATACATGGATTTTGGCATTTGCCCTGTGAATATTCCATTTTTGTGGTGCATTTGCACTTTGGCATTGTGATTTCCAAGGGCTGAATTTCTTATTTTCAACATGTCTAGTGTCTCTATGTATTTTTGCACCCTTTTCACCTACAATTCATCAACAAAAATAATTAGTACTTTAGAAAAAGAATTTAATAAAGCGTAAAAGAATTTTTATAATATCATATCACCTAGAAGGTACTACAGGTTACCGACCATTTACAAAAAAATGAATCAGTGACTCGAAAAATAAGGCAAGTTTTTTATAGCAAAATGTTAAACCTCAATATACTAATCTTTTTCAAGCAAATAAAAAAAAAATCCAACAAAGATTATGTTAATCACTTCTAAAGCAAAAGAAAGATGCATTATCTTGTGATTGAGTTGAATGCATGGCGAAGCTATGTATGGTCAACGGTGGTCAATTGAGCACCTTTTACCGAAAAATTATATCTACTGTGTATTGGATAAAATATTACTACTTATTATTGATTAAAAAGAAAATAGACTTTGACCCTTATTGAATTTTCTGGCTTTGTCAATGATTAAAATATTAATGTGTATGGTTGAAAGTATGTGTACCTGCATTCTTCTCTGCAATTTGAGATCACCATCAGCAGTAATTCCATCCAATTTTATCAATTGTGTCATCAACAATTCAATCAAACTCAATAGCAAAGTTTCTGTTACTTTCTTGCCACCATAAATGTCCATTTCAACATTGGCAACCTACATATACATAAAAACAAATGATTAAATCCCTTGAAATGAATAAATTAAGAGAAAATATTATGTAATTTAGAAAATAGAATTCTTGTTACCTGCTTAGCAAGTTTATCAATATCAAGTCTAATTGCTATGATTTCCTTTAATGCATTCTCCATTTTTGCATTTCTTCTTGATTCAACAAACCTCTTTTCTTTGCTAATCTCATCCTCAATTAGTACAAGTTTTGATCCATCTTTTAAACCAGCAACATCAAGAAAACTTCTTGAATCTCTTTCTTTTTCCTTGTAAAATATTTTCTGATCTTCAGGATGTAATCCAGTTTGACCTGCTAGCATTTTCTTCAATTCCCCTGTAAAATTCAAGATTCCTCATTTTATGACAACCCTTTTGAGAGATGAAAAGAAAATTTGCAAAACAAAAGTATGAACATGCAATTCAATTTCAAGATTCCTCATTTTATGACAACCCTTTTGAGAGATGAATGGAAAAATGCATAACAACAAAATAACTAGTAAAGTTGATGTCATATGACCAGGAGGTCACGGGTTCGAGACATGGAAACAGTCTCTTGCAGAAATGCAGGGTAAGGCTGCGTGCAATAGGCCCTTGTGATCCAGCCCTTTCCTGGACCCCGCGCATAGCGGGAGTTTAGTGCACCGGGCTACCTTTTTTTAACAAAGTAAGACGACGGCAACAACAACAAGCCCAATATAATCTCACAAGTGAAGTCTGGGGAAGGTAATGTGTACGCAGACTATACCCCTAGCTTGAGAAGGTAGAGAGGTTGTTTCTAATAGATACTCGGCCGAAGGAAAAATAAAGTAAGAAGGAATGCAAATTACCAAAAGTTGCTTGTGAACTGATTTTGATTTCATGATATGATGAACCATATTTGACTTTGATTTTAATTGTTGGAACTGTAACTGAACTTTGATATGAATCAGAACTTCTTTGTTGTACTAACATTCCTCCTGGCCTCATCTCCCATCCTGAAGATGAAAGTCCATTTCCATTTTGCTTAGTTTTCATTCTCAACAAGTCTTTGCTCATAGTGAGAAATTTTTGTTGTGATAATGAATGGAATTTATTATGACAACTTTCCTCAAGAAATGTCAAAAAGTTGATGAAAAATGGTTTTTTTTTTTAAAAAAAAAAAATTAAGTGCTTGTCTGCTAAGCTAAGAACAACCCCATGAATGAAGAAAAGAAAGAAGCAGAAAGATTCTGACCCACAACGTCAGAAGCACAACAACAACAATGTTATGTTCCTATGACAGAAAATTCTTGTAACTAATCAAGAAACACTAAACTGGTTTTTATGCTAAAAAAATTAGGCTTTTTATATTTGTGCTCGAGTCTAAAGAAAGAAAAAAAAGGAATTTCAGGGACTTTTCTAGAGAAGTTTAAGAAATAATGTGATAATGATTTTATAGAAACTTAAATGTGGAGTGATAAGAATAGCAAGAAGAAAGAAAAAGAATGAATGGCTATTGGGGTGGGTGAGAAGTGAGGTAGAAGGGAATATATGGATGTTAGGATATAAAATAAGAATATAATTTTAATTTCTTTTTGAAAAATAAGAATTGAAAGAACCCCTTTTTTTAAAAAGAATTATAGTGATTCAAGGGGTTATTATTTTATAAAATAATGAGATTGATATCCTAGTGTCCATATTGAAAATATGTTAATTAATTAAAATAAGGGGGTCAAAATGCCAAGTGTTATCTTTTTATTTGTTTTCTTTTTCCTGGAAAGACTAGAGAAGAATAGCTTTGGCTTTTGACACTGACTGATTCTTTGCTTGTGTACATTATTCAATTATCCATGTAATTTCTTGTCCATTCATATGTCCCTAATTAACACTAATTTTTGCTATATTTTGTATGCAATAATTGTATATAGATACCACAAGTAACTTACTCCACTTGTAATTGGCTAAGCTATTCATCTTCCTTTGTATTGGGGAATTGTACATACCACCTTTTAATAATATTCTTTTACATGGCTTTAAAGAGTTAATAAATGTTGTTGACAAATCACATAATTTCAGCAAAACTTTGCTATCACCTACATGAATTTAGCCAAACTTTTCTGTACTATTTCAATTTGAAGTATTTTGGGACTTGAGGGGAAAAAAACAACTAAGTTCAATATAGTAGGAGCATGTTTGGAAAGCCACCTTGGAAATGAATTTGGGTGTAATTGGGTATAATTACACAGTTTGGCATGTTTATTTAGCCAAGTAATTACTTGGTCAGCATGGAATTGGGTGTAATTGGAGGGGTGTAATTACACTCTCCAATTCTCAAGGGGGAGGTGAGAATTTGTGGAATTACACTGTGTAATNAATTCTCAAATTGAAAACAATAGCCGTCCTTTCTTTTTCTGTATAATTCAGCTCTTAGGTCTCTTAGGTCTATGAAACAGTAAAATTCCTGCAGCTTTTGTATATTTTCTTTTGATTTTCAGCTCTTTTTCTCTCACCGATTTTCAGAATGTTCAAAAGCTGCTCAATATGAGGAGAAAGAGGTCCTTATATAGGCATATCTAAGGCAGCCCTATCCTAGCGAGCCATTTCCCATTTTACCCCTCTCAAACCAGATTATTTTACACCTTTACCCCTCTAAAGAATCTAAAAATCCTGCTTCCTAACAGACTCACGTTTATCCTATCCCCTGGAAACTTCTATCCAACAGAAATGATTCTCTCCCAACCTAGAATCCCTGAATTACCCTCAGCCCAATCAATTATTACAAAACCTAACTCTTCCTTTGGGACCCCTAGAGTTTTGGGACTAACAATTGACTCCCCTAAGATCCCTTGAAGTGTGACAAACAGGCCTAATCAAATTATAAGGGCTTCAAACAGATCAAAGACGGAATTCTCAACAAAAATGCAAAACTCTTGATAATTGAAACAAACATAACATGAATCAAACACTCAACATTCACAAGGCCATCTAAAATAGTAATTAAACAGAAGTATAATCTCTAAAACTTATTGCGATTAGACCTAATAAATTCACACAGATTCAACCACACGAAATACAAGGAACAAAGAAAAACAAGAACCAAAACGAAGCAAAGAATAAAGGAAGGAAAGTACTGGTCTAACCTTAGGCAAACGTCAAAGGTGACAAACTTAGTTAGACAGAGACGACTTGGCCGGAATCCGGTGAGCTTCGAAATGAACCCAAAAATGACACTAATCAATTGTTCTTGCTGAGAACAAATGACTGGCATAATTTTTTTGGCTTGAATCAAGCCTTGAAAACATTAGAAATAAGAAGGGAGAAACGGATTAGGGTTTTATTTCTTTGATCTAAAATTGGAAAAGCTCAACGGTGATTTGAAGGAAACGGGTTAGGGATTTGGGATGAGGAGATGAAGGTGATCCTAGGGTGTAATTTTGGGACAGATTGGACAAATTAGGGTTTTGGTTGTTCCTTTCGATTCCAGATTTGAGAAGTTCGGCTGGGATTCGAGGGAGGGGGTTTGGATATTTGGAAAGAGGAGAAGAAGAGTAATTGATGGTGTAAAAATGGGGTCGATTGGAACAACGCCACCGACGGAGGCGATTTCCGGCAAGCGGCGCATGGCGGAGACGGTGAAGGGTTCTCTGGGGATGTGGAGACGATGAGAGGGGGGTAGGGGGCGTTCAGATAGTTAATATCAAAGAACCCAAGCTTCAGGATCGTTCAATCAAGAAACCTCGACGGTCCTGATCTAATCCAATGAAACGACGTCGTTTGAATTATCAAGGGGTAAGGGAGACCGGGTCAGGGACGGGTTTGGGCTTAGACCAGGGTAATTTGGGCGGGTTTAAGGGGTAACTGATGCAAATTTGATTAGGCTGGGGTAGAGGAATTAAAACTTGCCCAAATCTGATATTCTCCTTTCCTTTTCTCTTTTTCACTTAATTCCTTTTATTTTCCCACTTTTTTTTCAATTTCTTTTCAAGTTAAAACTAAAATAAAATAAAAATATAAACTAATTCCTAAATCCAATTAACCCTACCATATTGCACTAATCAACTAATAATTACAACAACTAATGAAAATCCAAATTAAGGAAGACTACCAAAAATTTCAAACTAAAATTAAAATTGTTGAAATAAACTATTTTTTTGATTTTCAATTCTTATAAAAAAAATTAATTACTAAATAATTCTTAAAATGCAAAATTAACTCCTAAATGCATATGCAACACCTTTTTTGTATTTTTTATTAATTAAAATGCACAGACAAAATGCAAATAATTATCAGAAAATGTCACAAAAATCCAAAAAATCGCAAACACTGAAAGAAATTATTTTGTTTGAATTTCTGGGAGTAATTCATATAGGGAAAAATCACGTGCTCACAGTTGCCCCTCTTTGCTCGGAAACACGCAGAGTTTTCGGGCAAAGATAAAGTGAGCGGATACGAGCGATTTTTGCCCGTTTGAATACTCCGTGTGTAGAATTTTTGAAAGATTTTGACCGCACCCTGCTTCTGAGGTTTCCTACATATCCTTGGCTAAAAAGGAATCAGGTCAGTGTAGTTCAGGAATGTCTGGTAGCTGGGACTACCATGAAGCTGTGATTTCACTGTTGCTGCTGCTGCTGCTACTGCTTACTGAACTCCCTTATTACACCATGTCAAAATAAACAAAAGAAGCTAGACTAAGCTACGATCTATGCATTACAAAAGTCCTATCTATATCTTCAAACTTGCTCTCGTGGTTCTTGTTGCCTTGTTGACTTGTATTCTCCCGGTGGAATTCCTTTTTTGTCGACTTAAATTGTAATCTGAGATGTTTTCCCTTTCTTCAGGTGGATGCCTGATTGCCGAACTTGAATTATATTCCCTGCTCTCCAGGCGGGCTCCTGACTGCTGACTTGAAATATATTCCTCTGTTCTTCAGGCGGGCTCCTGACTGCTGACTTCTAAATGTATTCCTCTATTCCGGGCTCCTGACTGCTAAAACTTGAAATGTATTCCTCTGTTCTTCAGGCGGGCTCCTGACTGCTAAAACTTGAATGTATTCCTCCGTTCTTCAGGCGGGCTCCTGATTGCTAAAACTTGGAATGTATTCCTCTGTTCTTCAGGCGGGCTCCTGACTTCAACAAAAATAGACAAAACAAAGAAAATTTTCTGCCCCAGTTTGGTAGCTGGGCACATAGGTGAGTGTTAAACTGAATCATTCTACCAACTAATATTAAGAATTTGAAAGCTAAGTCCTATTATCCAGGGAGGTCCTGACAACTCTTAATTGAAAGACAATTTTAAACCTAAGTTTTATCTTCTAAAGGTACTAAGTCCTGTTATCTAAAAGGGTCTTAAACTACATCCTATTATCCGGGAAGGTCCTGAAAATCAAATCAAGGCGTATCCTAAAGACTGACACTTTTACGACTGAATCATACTACGCTACAACGGAATTTATGCTACATCTTGCTATCTAATGGAAATCTTAAAACTTGGTCCCATTATTCAGGGGGGGGGGGGTTCCTGACAACTCCTAAATGAATCATGTCTTAAACCATGCAAACTTTGCAATCAACTTACATTTTTCTTTGATTTGCTTTGAAATTTATCTAAGCCCTATTTTCAGAAGGTCCTGAGAGTTTACGGTCAAACCTGTTTTGGTGCTTGCTCTTCCCCTACGGAGAGTTCCTCCGAAACAAACGGAATATTCTGCCCCTGTTTCAATCAAAGGAAAATCTTGTCAGTTTAAAATGGTGGTTAGTTGATGGCATTCTTGCTGAAGATGTCTCCGCTGCTATGTTTTGCTTTGACCTGCTTCTCAAACTGGCCTTGAACCGCTTGACTCTCTGACTGACTTTCAAACCCATGACCTTCAATGACCTAAGTGTTCTATACTAAACCATTGTTTTACACCTCTGACCCCTTTATCTGAACCTTTGCATCTCCCACGACATTACCAAGTCATTCCACCGACGAAACTTCCGGTGACTCCCTGTATCCCACTTTACATCCTGCTATCTTTGGTATGTTCTGGCCACACTGTGCTTTGCAATTTTGGAAGCTGGTAGTGAGCTTTGAAATCCTTTCTTATTTGCTTTGAACAAAACTGACATTGAAACATCTTAGAGAACAAACCCCAAAAGGAATGAAATGCAATGACCTTGAGAGTTAAGGATAAAGAGAATCCAAAACCGGACGACTTACAAAAAAAAAAGGAAAAGAGACTTATCTGAGTGGAACAGCTGGTACCATTGATCATGACATGCATTTCGGACTAATCGGCCCAATCCGTCCAACCAATCAACTTTCAATTGCCATGCTTTGTTGCCCTAGAATTCCATAACCTGATTTCTTCACCCAAACCCTAACCTTGTTCATCCTGCGGTGTCCTGAACGGTTTTCACCCACAGACCTCTCTCATTTGTTCATTTGAAAACTCACTTTCGCCTTAAGGTGCCCGCTAGGGTTTTCACCAATAAGACTCTCTCATTTCTGTTTTCTCTCAACTCACTTTCGCCTTACGGTGCCCGTGAGGGTTTTCACCAATAAGACTCTCTCATTTTCATTACTTTTCCTGCTTGGACCGGAGTGTTGCCCCTGATATGAATCACATCTTCCTGCTCGACTTGGCATTTCTGAAGACTGATCAGAAGGTCTTTCTTTGGACCG